ATTAATCTTTTAATTTCTTTCCATAGAATAAGAAGTATCTTTCCTATTTTATAATGTTTCTGTGTATATATTTTATGATTCATAGTATGAATTTTGTGGGTCTTCAAATTTTTGAAGTTGCTGGAGTCATTCCATTAATTATATAGAAAAAATTGTTATTGAAAAAAAAAGAAATCTATTTCTGTTTGTATCCTTGCCTACTTGGACCTTGTTTATTAATAAGACTTATTACACTGCTTTAGTTTCTGTCAGCAAACAGAGTATGAAAATAAAGGTATTTTTACCCTCTATTTGCTAATTGGAGGTCCCTCTATATGCTCCAGGTGAAAATAAAGATATTTTGTTTTGACTTATTGACTAAGATCTCCTCTATTTGCTAATCAGAAACTACACCAGTGTAATAAGTTCTATTAATAAACAAGGTCCAAGTAGACAAGGATACAAACAGAAGTTGAATGACATAGAGGTAAAAAGAATTAAAAGGAAATCTAAATTGTGTTTAATTCAAACCTCTTGCATGTATTACTAAACTACCATTTTTTAAAATTTAGTGTGTCTTTACAGAAAAGCAAATTTATTTTCCGTTAAAGTCTTGCCATAAGTAACTACCTAAATATTTTTATAGGTATATTACAGACGAACAAGTTGTTCGGAAACTTTTAATTTTTTTTTTAATTTTAAATTAGAATTTAAAATGTGTACAAATGTCAAAAAACGGGAATACGCTATGTTGACCTTTTTAGACTTCTCGGCTATTTGAATAAATGGCCTTGCATTTGAAAAATCTTGCACTTGATGAAAGGTGTCTTCTTTAGCTGCCTTTCATATGACCGCAACACAGTCAACGACTGAGAAGCCTAAAAAGAAAGGTCAACACCACTAAATTGTGGTGTTTTCCTGTTTTTTTTTTTTTTTTTTATATTTGTATAAATTCCTTTTATTTTCAAAAATAACTTACGCCCACAGAATTTTAATTTTTTAAAAATTAAAAAATTATCAAACAACCAAGGAACATAATAGCACAAATTGCATAATTCATAGTGTGCACTTTGAGTAGTGTGGAAGGTGGATCAAGACTCCTTTTGTTATGATAACAAATGGGCTTAACAAACATTAGGAAATTTATTAAATGGGCTGAAATGCCTAAAAAGAAAGGTAAACACCATTAATTTTTAGTACATTTGTGCAGATTGCATTTAGTTTAGTTTTTTACAAATTTATCAGATTTAGTAAGATGGAATTTTTATAAATCAAAAGAAAATTGTTTTGTATAATAAATTAAGACTTAAAGTCTTCAGAAACAGTTGAGATGATTATTATAACAGTAGCTCTTTTATAATTCAACTATAGTGTATTTGCTATAATTTTGTGCATGCTTCTGCAAGAAATAGTTTGCAAAACAGTACTCTTTCCTAACAATTGTTTCCAGTACTAAATTTATAATAATTAATGGATGTTTACATTTTTATTAGAACAATGCTATTGCTTATACAATAAGACCAGTTATGTGGAGGGATTCATTTTGTAGTGTACGGTGATGAGATGGCTACTTAACTTCTTCATTTCATTCACAAAATTAAAGTGAGTAGATACAAATACATCACACTAACCTTATATAGCTTTGCAGTACATTGATGACGTATGCATCATCTAGAGCAGCGGTCCCCATCCTTTTTATCGCCGCGGACCAGTCAACGTTTGATATTTTACCACGGCCCACTGAGGGGGGACGTTGATTGTTTATATTTTAGATTGATTTAATTTAATAATTTTAATTTAATTGTATTTAAACATGCCTTCAAAATAAAATACAGTTACACCAAAAAATGAATATAATGTGATTTAACATTTTAACTCACTAGAACGCTAAATCAATGAGAACCCTGAGCTTGTGTCTTTGCAACAAGATGTTCCATCTGGGGGTAATAGGAGACAACGAAGTGTGTTTCTTATGTCCAGTTTATTCCGTTGTTCCGTCGTCCATTAAAAGTCGCACAAACCCGAGAGAAATACACCATAGTAAATAAAATGGAAATACCAGTAATTTAATGTTTCTTGGGCGGCCCGGTACCATTTGATCCATGGACCGGTCCGCGGCCCGGGGGTTGGGGACCACTGATCTAGAGGACAAAGCCAAACGTCAAAGAATTTATGTACAGTGAATAGACTATAGAATCATTTCAAGTTTAACTTGCCATATTTATTATTTCATAACAGAAAGAGGAATGGAAATCTTCTGTTATGAAATAATAAATACGTTGAGCCCAGGGAAATAAATAGAGCCCAGGGCTAGATGTTTCTGTTGTTTTTTCCTAATACTAACATACAAAACAGCTTTTTATCTTTTAAACAATTTAAAATAAATCATTACATTTATAAAATTATATTTTGAGATATTTCTTGTTTATTAATGTAAATTTAAACTTAGAAAATTTATTTAGTGTGAATCTTTGAATGTAATCTCTACAATCTATAAGTAGCAAAACATTTTGAATACTTAAGTACATTGCTTTTAACATTATTTTTTTAATATTAAAATTTAATTTTATAAAAGTGCATAATGCATGATTATAATCAAGACCTTTTTAACATAGCGTTATTTGATTAGAAAATAATCAAAATATTTCTCTGTAATTCGTTGGCTAGTGTTGGCTAAGTGAATAAACCCATTTGGTGGAAAAATAGTTCTACAATCTTGATGTGATGAACAGAAGACAGATGTACAGTGAGCCACTACAGCAATGACAGTAGTTGTCAGAGTTGGGCACATTTGGAGGATAGAGCCCAGGGCTAGATGTTTCTGTTGGTAGTATGTGCAGACAAGCCAGGCTTGTCACATTATCTTCACAGTGTGGGCAGGCTGGAGAAGACAGGATATTATGAGAATAAAGAAAATTGTTAAGAGGGATTGTCTCCACTCGGAGGCAACACGGCAGCATCTCCAGATGGTGTGAAGCGTAATGTTTGTAGGGCCAGTGGTGGAAGGGTTGGAGATGATCTTGTTCTTTGCTAGGAAACACAGCCAGCCATCTTTTTGTTAATTTGTTATTTTTCTTGTTTAACTTCCTATAAATAGTTACCCTTTAAAACAGTTATTTAGCTGAGCTTGAATCTGAATCAAATTTGAACTCAATTGAATGACTGTTTCTAATCCACGTCTCATGTTATGAGGAATAAAACTGATCTGGCCATCGTTCCTCATCCATGCTTGCCCACCTCCTTATAGATCAGAGTCACTTACATTCAAGGCTGTGGAGAACAATCACAAGCCCTGAGCTAGGGCTTCTCACACTCCTTTATACTTTCTTGTGACAAGATACTTTTCAGTTTATCTTTTCTTTTTTCTCCTTTTATGCATCTGAAGTTACATAAATTGATTTTTTTTCCACCTGATTATTAATTGCATTATATAGATCTGATCTAGGTCCCAGAGCTACAGCTCTCATCTATCTCTCTCTCTTTTGGTCCTGCCTATATTAAGTAATTGTAACAAGTTGTATAGCCTTAATGATTCCTGTTAATAAATCAATCCATCAGTTCAGTTTTAAATTTCTAATTTAAATTCTTTAACTACTGAGAAATGCAATGCTGAATTGTAAAACACTTCAAAAAACTTAAAAATTGCATTAACCACTTTAATATCCAACATTTTGGCCATATTTAAATTTAAATTTTAATGTTTTAAATTCTTTAGTTAAGCAGTACTTCAGTTAAAATGTATTACTGTACAAGTATTATATAACTATCTGTATAATGTTTACTTACATAATAATTGTTTATAGTATAATTTTTCACTTTTACGCAATTAATATCCTGTTCTAAAGAATGTTAGCATTGTAATAACTGCACGTACAAAGATTTTGTAAATATTTTTCCAGAGAAATTATAGTTTGTTTATTAAATGGTTATTGAATAGTACTAGATTTTTAAAATATACAACAAATTTCATTTCAGATGATTCAATAACTGAATGGCAATATTTTATTAAATTCTTCTTTAAATATATATTTATTTAGCTTAACGAATACTCTAAATGGAAATCTAAGATCAAATTTCAATTTTATTAAGTCTTTATCCATTTATTTATAATCACTTTAAATGCTTTATTTACCAAATGATATTTATAGATACAAGATGAGTCAAAAGTCTCCATGCGTAAGTCATAACAAGGGGCAAAATCGGGAACCAATGAACAAATATTTAACTTACATTTGCCTTGAATGGAATACATTTGTTTGTGCATTCAGTGCGTTGTTTGACTACATATGGAGACTCAACACCTTGTAGTATATGTAAATATAAACTGTAAATTATACTATTTGCTGTTAAAGTGAGATGGTTACTATGAAACACTGATACCAAAGTACATGTTATAATGTTAAAAACTTCCATTTTAAAGTTATTGTTATAAGTAAAATTTAAGTATCAATCATTTTTAACTCCTAAAAACCTTAAATTATTTACAATCAATAAACAGAAATCTTGTATCTAATTTATAAAATTCAAAATTGCTTATCTTTATATTTGTTATTTTTATTTACTGAGTAGAATATAAACATTATTTCCTTCTATGAATAAAACATTAAAAAAAAGTACAAATTAGACAAAAATATTTGGAATGAGGATGTCAGTAGACAAAAATATGAATATTAAATACATTTATGGATACTTCCTCATTCCACAATAGTGAAGCGTTACAATAAATAACATTTTTAGTGACATTAATCATTATCTATGTGAAATATGAGAGCACTTAGTGCTTAGTCTGATCACGAGTTTGTTACGAATTAATAATGACTAATGACATAAATTCTGCATAAAATATATTTAAAAAATATATTGTAAAATTATAATCTAGATTTCTAAAGTATAATAATAAAAGTTTAAGTTTTGTTTTTTACCTTTTTATTTTATTTATTACTTAATTAATTTTACTTTATCCTCCTATTTCACTTTGAAAATCACTTTATTTAAATATTAAATATTTATTTTAAAAATAGGGGATGATTTCGGGATTATTCAACAAGAAATCTTAATGATGAAATCATGCAGGCATACTAATATCGTAGCATATTTTGGCAGTTATTTAAGGTAATAATAATGGATGAATCTGGAAATTTTAGTTTCATTTACAAATAAGATTTAATAATAATATATAAATTGATTGATTGCAGGCGGGATAAGTTATGGATATGTATGGAGTACTGTGGAGGTGGCTCATTGCAAGACATCTATCACAGTAAGTATTTCTGAAATACAAAAAATAATGCCAATAATATCAATAATTAATTAACATAACTAAATCTCATAGAAATTTAAACATAAAGTGATATTAAATAATGTTTATGTAATTTACACATATATTACGATACAATATTCATTGTATTTACATTAATTTTTTATTGAGAGCAGGAAGTTGAGTTCATATCTAAATAATATGCATCATGATTGCATTTTGTTACTATGGCAACAAAATTACAGACACAACTTAGTTTGACGTGTATAGGTACAATTTGGTACAACTTGTTAAAATACAATATCGGTTAATCACCTATATTTTTTTTATATATATAATTATATAGTGTTGATAATGTGTGATCGTTTAATAATAATCTTATACATGATAAAATATCAAAAAATAATAATAATTAAATATATAAGACATAAATAAAACAGTGATATTATTTAATTAATAGTTTATTGTTAATGTAGTTTCAATTTTCTTATTTAAATAGTTTATAGATTAATCAGTTTAATGATTTTTAAGAAAGCACAAGTAATCATAATAGAAGCAGATGGAAACAAAATAGGAAAAGGAAATTAGATTAACTGAAAGAAGTAAATCATATTAATGTATTAATATTTGAACATTACTCATGTATTTATTTGTTGTTCTTTAGGATATTACAGTGCAAAAAATAACTAAGATAGAGTAATTATCGTTCATCTCTGTGTACGTGCATGTGCACACACACAGAGAAAGAGAGAGAGTTTTCACAAAACATGAGAATATTCATTAATAGCAAAATTAATAAACATATTAATATAGCACTGTGGTCGTCATTTGACTTTTATGAGTCATTCAGGATCGTTGCCATCTTCACCACATCTCTGTCTACCTTCCTTTTCTTTATTCTAGCTATTTTCTTTATTTTGCACTGCATCATCTTGCATTTCTCCTCACAACCTGCTTCTGTCTTCTCCTTGGTCTCCCTCTTGGTCTATTTTGATCTTATGCAATGTCTTTGTCATTTGTGTAAGAAGTATGTCCTATCCATCTAAGTCTAACATTTTGTGTGTTCAGTGATCAACAATTATTACATATGAATATATTCATTCACAATATTCTGAAGAATATTGCTAAAAACATTTTAACATTACATTTTAACACAAATATATTTCATTAATTTTATTATTACATTTTCATCCTACAAAATTAATCAAAACATGATTATTCTCATACAGAATTGTACATATATTTTAAAATGAATAACATTTAAAAGTACTAAAATCCTGATATTTATGTTATCAAAGGAAAACAATCTAACAGTTTGACAATGACATTGTTAACTCCTGATTTTAACTTGCAGACGTAGTCTTATTCATAGTTTAAAATAACAAAAAAATAAAAGTTAAAATTAATGTTGTTAATTACTCAGCACGAAGAATATCTGAGATGTAATTATGCATTCTTATATCATTTTACATAATTAAATACCTCTACCCTTGTAAATATATTATTCTAATAACTTATTCCTTCAAAGAATATAACCTTTTTTAAAGTTGTATTAATTAATATTACTAAAATCATCATAAGATTTTATTAGCACAGAAACCTACATAAGTCTTTTGTTGTTCAAGTGTATCACATTTATTCAAAAAGAAAGGGGGGGACTACCTAACAATCAGACCATTTAGGCACACTGCCAAGGTTTGTGCTTATTCTTAGCTATCTTCTTGAGGTTAAAGACCAGGTGTTTTATTTTAAGGAAATTAGATTTTAATTAATTAATTAAACTAATTAATTATTATGATATTTAGCATTGTATTAAAACACATGCATGCTTAAAGTGAGTATGATAATAAATTTCAAAAGGATTGTATGTATAAAAATATTATTTTTATTTTTTATAATATTTAGCTATTTATCATTTCTTAAGTAATTTTCTTAGAAACCAAGTTTAATGAATTAATGAAATAAAAAATGGAGTTATTTATTTGCACATTTTTCTCACATTAAAATTTATTTTACTGTTAAAATCATATAAAACAAAAATTAAAAAATGATTTTATTATTGTTTATATTAAGTTATAATTTTTCTTTATTTTATAGTTACTGGCCCCCTTACCGAAATCCAAATAGCCTATATGTGTAGAGAAACGCTACAGGGTTTAAAATATCTCCACTCTCTGGGCATGATGCATCGCGATGTTAAAGGGGCTAACATCCTCCTCACAGAAGATGGAGATGTAAAATTAGGTTGGTATTGATATGTATTATTTTTGGTGAGGTATGCATTCTGTCCTAATTTTTTTGACTACTTCACCCCTTTTTTTTCATTCTTTATTATTTGTTTCTTGCCAAGTTGTTTTTCTTGTGCACGTGCATCAAAAAACAAAAAAAAATTGAGATTGTAATGAGGATAATTATAAACAATTGTCATTCAACAAATAACTTCTATTGATAATTGTTTGTAATATTTAAAAATATAAAGTGAAAATTAGTTTTTACTTTTACAAATACTTAATTACTGTCTTAACATCTTTCAAGCTATTCATGTTCAAGCTTGTAAACATCAAAAAACAAAGATTAGCAGTTTAAATACATAAATAAGTGGAATTGTTTTGAATATATCAAGTTTTTGTTTTTAAATATCAAAATTAAAGAAGCTGCTTAGTAAGGAAGCCAAAATTTTTAATTAGAAATGTTTTGGCCATTATTCTGGTTTCTTCAGTTTATAAAGAAATTGAATGATGTGAAACATGACTTTGGAGTAAATGCTGATGATAATAATTATATATATTTGCGTTTAACATGGAAATTTTTGAATAAATTTATGATACAGTTTAGCATAAGTAAAGCACTAACGGCAATATAAGTACTGTTTGTAATACAGGGTGTCTATAATTTATTCATTTGATTAAGAAATCCAATAGAGAGAAAACTGTAACATATGTCTACTACTACACATTGCTTGTATAATTCAAAAGTGTTTTTACAAACCTTTCGGATCATGATGGCTATTAGTAAACTTCCAGGTGTAAACTTTTGTCGCTCTCAGAATAACCAATATGTATTCAATTTAACTCCAAATGTTTTTAACATCTCTCTTTGTAGCCTGGATAGTCTTCTTCCATACTAATTACCTTTTGCATAAACTTTGTTCTTTATAGAATGTTACAGAAAGAAGTCAAGGAGGGTGATGTCAGAATCTTGGTGGTCATGCAATTGATAAAAGAGTCTTTGCAATTCGTCTCTTTTCACATTTCGGGCTTCATAATGTAGTGTGAGGAGAGCTATGACAGAGCTAACCTTTATTTTGAGACTCTTATCCATGTTAATTGGCAAAATGATATGTATGTAATGTAATATAATATAATTTTTATAATTGTGCTGTCAACAGAGGAATTTTTAAAAAATTTTCATGGATTGATGTGGACACAAATACCAAGATAAAGGTTAGTTCATTATGTAATCTTGAGGTGGGAAGCAGGATGAATTATGAAGACACACTTACTCTAATGTGTCTCTGAACTTATGAATTTTAATTATACTTGTCATTACGGAACTATAATTAAAATAAGAAAATGTCAAACTATAGGTTTTAAAATGGTTTGTTTGATTGAAATTAAGTTTTGTATGTGATTCTTTATTTTTTTAATGTTGTGTCCTGAACTTCTTGTCTTGTTTGAGATTTTGGGATGTTAATGAATATTCTGTTACTCTTATAAATTTTTCAAGGTAGGATAAGTTATAGCATCCTAATTCTAATAAAATTCTTTTAATTTTACAGCTGATTTTGGTGTCTCAGCTCAAATAACAGCAACTATAAGTAAAAGAAAGTCATTTATTGGAACACCTTATTGGTCAGAATCTCTATTTCTCAAACTACTCATTTTGTTAAAATGTAAGTTTAAAATGTTCTGTTTGATACTTTTAAAGGATGGCACCCGAAGTTGCAGCTGTCGAAAGGAAGGGTGGTTATAACCAACAATGTGATATATGGGCCGTAGGTATAACAGCAATTGAACTAGCTGAACTACAACCACCCATGTTTGATCTACATCCAATGAGAGCACTTTTTTTAATGTCGAAATCAGGATTTAAGTCACCTACACTAAAAGATAAAAATAAATGGTATGAAAATTATTATATTTTAAGATGGTAATATATTATTTCAAGAACAATTTTCTCTTTTAAAAGGTCTCCAACTTTCCATCATTTTGTAAAAGTAGCACTTACAAAAAATCCAAAAAAAAGGCCACCGGCAGATAGATTATTACAGGTAAGAAAGGTTTCATAAACTAAATACAGTGGTACCTCAGTATACGTCTGCTTTAGAATACGTCCAATTCGGAATACGTCCTGTTTGGACGAAACAAATTTTGCTCGGTATACGACTTTTGTTCGGTATAAGCGCCATCTATGAACNGAGGGGGGACGTTGATTGTTTATATTTTAGATTGATTTAATTTAATAATTTTAATTTAATTGTATTTAAACATGCCTTCAAAATAAAATACAGTTACACCAAAAAATGAATATAATGTGATTTAACATTTTAACTCACTAGAACGCTAAATCAATGAGAACCCTGAGCTTGTGTCTTTGCAACAAGATGTTCCATCTGGGGGTAATAGGAGACAACGAAGTGTGTTTCTTATGTCCAGTTTATTCCGTTGTTCTGTCGTCCATTAAAAGTCGCACAAACCCGAGAGAAATACACCATAGTAAATAAAATGGAAATACCAGTAATTTAATGTTTCTTGGGCGGCCCGGTACCATTTGATCCATGGACCGGTCCGCGGCCCGGGGGTTGGGGACCACTGATCTAGAGGACAAAGCCAAACGTCAAAGAATTTATGTACAGTGAATAGACTATAGAATCATTTCAAGTTTAACTTGCCATATTTATTATTTCATAACAGAAAGAGGAATGGAAATCTTCTGTTATGAAATAATAAATACGTTGAGCCCAGGGAAATAAATAGAGCCCAGGGCTAGATGTTTCTGTTGTTTTTTCCTAATACTAACATACAAAACAGCTTTTTATCTTTTAAACAATTTAAAATAAATCATTACATTTATAAAATTATATTTTGAGATATTTCTTGTTTATTAATGTAAATTTAAACTTAGAAAATTTATTTAGTGTGAATCTTTGAATGTAATCTCTACAATCTATAAGTAGCAAAACATTTTGAATACTTAAGTACATTGCTTTTAACATTATTTTTTTAATATTAAAATTTAATTTTATAAAAGTGCATAATGCATGATTATAATCAAGACCTTTTTAACATAGCGTTATTTGATTAGAAAATAATCAAAATATTTCTCTGTAATTCGTTGGCTAGTGTTGGCTAAGTGAATAAACCCATTTGGTGGAAAAATAGTTCTACAATCTTGATGTGATGAACAGAAGACAGATGTACAGTGAGCCACTACAGCAATGACAGTAGTTGTCAGAGTTGGGCACATTTGGAGGATAGAGCCCAGGGCTAGATGTTTCTGTTGGTAGTATGTGCAGACAAGCCAGGCTTGTCACATTATCTTCACAGTGTGGGCAGGCTGGAGAAGACAGGATATTATGAGAATAAAGAAAATTGTTAAGAGGGATTGTCTCCACTCGGAGGCAACACGGCAGCATCTCCAGATGGTGTGAAGCGTAATGTTTGTAGGGCCAGTGGTGGAAGGGTTGGAGATGATCTTGTTCTTTGCTAGGAAACACAGCCAGCCATCTTTTTGTTAATTTGTTATTTTTCTTGTTTAACTTCCTATAAATAGTTACCCTTTAAAACAGTTATTTAGCTGAGCTTGAATCTGAATCAAATTTGAACTCAATTGAATGACTGTTTCTAATCCACGTCTCATGTTATGAGGAATAAAACTGATCTGGCCATCGTTCCTCATCCATGCTTGCCCACCTCCTTATAGATCAGAGTCACTTACATTCAAGGCTGTGGAGAACAATCACAAGCCCTGAGCTAGGGCTTCTCACACTCCTTTATACTTTCTTGTGACAAGATACTTTTCAGTTTATCTTTTCTTTTTTCTCCTTTTATGCATCTGAAGTTACATAAATTGATTTTTTTTCCACCTGATTATTAATTGCATTATATAGATCTGATCTAGGTCCCAGAGCTACAGCTCTCATCTATCTCTCTCTCTTTTGGTCCTGCCTATATTAAGTAATTGTAACAAGTTGTATAGCCTTAATGATTCCTGTTAATAAATCAATCCATCAGTTCAGTTTTAAATTTCTAATTTAAATTCTTTAACTACTGAGAAATGCAATGCTGAATTGTAAAACACTTCAAAAAACTTAAAAATTGCATTAACCACTTTAATATCCAACATTTTGGCCATATTTAAATTTAAATTTTAATGTTTTAAATTCTTTAGTTAAGCAGTACTTCAGTTAAAATGTATTACTGTACAAGTATTATATAACTATCTGTATAATGTTTACTTACATAATAATTGTTTATAGTATAATTTTTCACTTTTACGCAATTAATATCCTGTTCTAAAGAATGTTAGCATTGTAATAACTGCACGTACAAAGATTTTGTAAATATTTTTCCAGAGAAATTATAGTTTGTTTATTAAATGGTTATTGAATAGTACTAGATTTTTAAAATATACAACAAATTTCATTTCAGATGATTCAATAACTGAATGGCAATATTTTATTAAATTCTTCTTTAAATATATATTTATTTAGCTTAACGAATACTCTAAATGGAAATCTAAGATCAAATTTCAATTTTATTAAGTCTTTATCCATTTATTTATAATCACTTTAAATGCTTTATTTACCAAATGATATTTATAGATACAAGATGAGTCAAAAGTCTCCATGCGTAAGTCATAACAAGGGGCAAAATCGGGAACCAATGAACAAATATTTAACTTACATTTGCCTTGAATGGAATACATTTGTTTGTGCATTCAGTGCGTTGTTTGACTACATATGGAGACTCAACACCTTGTAGTATATGTAAATATAAACTGTAAATTATACTATTTGCTGTTAAAGTGAGATGGTTACTATGAAACACTGATACCAAAGTACATGTTATAATGTTAAAAACTTCCATTTTAAAGTTATTGTTATAAGTAAAATTTAAGTATCAATCATTTTTAACTCCTAAAAACCTTAAATTATTTACAATCAATAAACAGAAATCTTGTATCTAATTTATAAAATTCAAAATTGCTTATCTTTATATTTGTTATTTTTATTTACTGAGTAGAATATAAACATTATTTCCTTCTATGAATAAAACATTAAAAAAAAGTACAAATTAGACAAAAATATTTGGAATGAGGATGTCAGTAGACAAAAATATGAATATTAAATACATTTATGGATACTTCCTCATTCCACAATAGTGAAGCGTTACAATAAATAACATTTTTAGTGACATTAATCATTATCTATGTGAAATATGAGAGCACTTAGTGCTTAGTCTGATCACGAGTTTGTTACGAATTAATAATGACTAATGACATAAATTCTGCATAAAATATATTTAAAAAATATATTAAAAATATTACTTTAAATTAAATTTAGATTGACAAATATTATTATGTCAGTATATTATTCTATAACTCATCAAAAGTGATGCAAGAAGAAATAAAATCATTAGTCATTTGAAAAAAATCAATAACTTTTATACTCAATTAATGGGTGAAGAAACGAAAAAATTGATTTTTACTTTTATCAAACTATAACATTTTATCATAACATTCTCCATAAAGACTGTACCATCTCCAAATAATTTTTTTCATTGTTCTGACTCACTAGTGACCAGGTAGATAAATCACCAAACACTAGTAGTTTGTCTTAAGTTTACACCTTGCCAACAGGCTGACCATGTGAAGTTTTCAGAGTTTACTTCACGTATGTAACACCTACATAGGGGCCAGTTTTCCATGGAAAATAATCCTGTGAGACATCTCTTTTTGGCAGATCATCCAGTTGTTCATTGCTATATCCCCTCAAACCAACCTGTTGTTCTGAATCTGAAATATAAAGTTTTTGTCATTGCAACAACATATTACTAACAACAATTTTGTCAGTCTTCGAATTTGAGCATGCACCAATCTGATAAAGTTGATTTATTTAACTTATGGAAAATGTCATTCACCATAGATGACATAATTAAGTAAATTCAAGGTAAAATTAAATAATAATTTTGAGTTTTGATTCACTTATATTCAAGAAAATTAGTCACATCTAATGGTATGGTCACCTTAAAATTAATTAATTAAAGTATATTGAAATATGCAGAACATTATCAAATTATAAGAAAAGTAATTGTTTTCATTCACCACTAATTTTTTTTACCAAAAAATTACTGATTTTTGACTTGGAAAGACAAAACTAAATACAATTTTCAATGGTAGAATGTCTTTCTGCTATTTTTAAATCAAATTATTTTTAGAACAATTCAAATTCTTATTAAGACATTAAATTTTAACAGTTAATGTAGAGTGTACATATGTATAAATATAGGATAATAACTTTGGAAAATACAGCTAAATTAAGTTGAAAATCACAAGCAAAACAAAATGGAGTAGACGTTTACACGTTGAGATGGAAGAAGATATGAAACCTGACAATTTTAAGCTGGGCCATAGCATCTGAAATAATTATTCTCTTGAATGTGAATTGAAAAATTATTATAAATTTAACAGATTAATGTAATAAGAATTTAAATTTGAATGTGGTTCTTATAAAAACACTCATTCCACTATTAATAAACAGTGTAGAGCTAGCAATGTACAGGCATAGGATATTATGTTGTTATTAGATTATATTTTATTTTATATAATAATAGTATTTTAGATGTATGTAACTTTATTGAATACTTAAAAATATATGACTTGCATCAAAGAAAGTAAAACAGGTTTAATCTCTTTCCTTATACTTCCTCAATGTATGCCCCTTGTGCTACCTGACAGACATCTAACAAGGTCTTCCCACACTTCTCTGGTCCAATTTATACGTTGTTAGTTCTTCCAGAGTAGCTGTGATTGAATTCTTTAGTGTTCAGATGTCTTGAAACAGGTGGCACATAAGCAGTGTCTTCCTGTATCCCTGCAAAAAAGAAATCTCATGATATAAATTCTGGAGATTCAGGTGATCATGCTGGCCTACCAGGTCTCTGGATCTTGTAGATTGTGTAAGTGAGAGCAAAGCCATCAATGTAAACGATCATTACACCCACAAGAAATTACTTCAAAAGTTCAGTCTCTTTAAAGAAAGATAACAAACTTCTAAATGAAAGCTAGATATTATTAGATTTCTAAAAGAGGAGATCACAAATGAACAAGATTCTCAGCAGATTCACAAAAGGCTAGGGAGGAGACTTTTCAGGTGGCACAAATATGTTTCAAAAATGATCAGAACTGGTCAGAATGCCAACCACAAAGCAAAAATTATTCTTACCAAAGAGAAGAAAATTTGTATAATAGTTGACACAGAGGGCAAACTAGGCAAGATACCTTACTCTGNCGCTACAGGGTTTAAAATATCTCCACTCTCTGGGCATGATGCATCGCGATGTTAAAGGGGCTAACATCCTCCTCACAGAAGATGGAGATGTAAAATTAGGTTGGTATTGATATGTATTATTTTTGGTGAGGTATGCATTCTGTCCTAATTTTTTTGACTACTTCACCCCTTTTTTTTCATTCTTTATTATTTGTTTCTTGCCAAGTTGTTTTTCTTGTGCACGTGCATCAAAAAACAAAAAAAAATTGAGATTGTAATGAGGATAATTATAAACAATTGTCATTCAACAAATAACTTCTATTGATAATTGTTTGTAATATTTAAAAATATAAAGTGAAAATTAGTTTTTACTTTTACAAATACTTAATTACTGTCTTAACATCTTTCAAGCTATTCATGTTCAAGCTTGTAAACATCAAAAAACAAAGATTAGCAGTTTAAATACATAAATAAGTGGAATTGTTTTGAATATATCAAGTTTTTGTTTTTAAATATCAAAATTAAAGAAGCTGCTTAGTAAGGAAGCCAAAATTTTTAATTAGAAATGTTTTGGCCATTATTCTGGTTTCTTCAGTTTATAAAGAAATTGAATGATGTGAAACATGACTTTGGAGTAAATGCTGATGATAATAATTATATATATTTGCGTTTAACATGGAAATTTTTGAATAAATTTATGATACAGTTTAGCATAAGTAAAGCACTAACGGCAATATAAGTACTGTTTGTAATACAGGGTGTCTATAATTTATTCATTTGATTAAGAAATCCAATAGAGAGAAAACTGTAACATATGTCTACTACTACACATTGCTTGTATAATTCAAAAGTGTTTTTACAAACCTTTCGGATCATGATGGCTATTAGTAAACTTCCAGGTGTAAACTTTTGTCGCTCTCAGAATAACCAATATGTATTCAATTTAACTCCAAATGTTTTTAACATCTCTCTTTGTAGCCTGGATAGTCTTCTTCCATACTAATTACCTTTTGCATAAACTTTGTTCTTTATAGAATGTTACAGAAAGAAGTCAAGGAGGGTGATGTCAGAATCTTGGTGGTCATGCAATTGATAAAAGAGTCTTTGCAATTCGTCTCTTTTCACATTTCGGGCTTCATAATGTAGTGTGAGGAGAGCTATGACAGAGCTAACCTTTATTTTGAGACTCTTATCCATGTTAATTGGCAAAATGATATGTATGTAATGTAATATAATATAATTTTTATAATTGTGCTGTCAACAGAGGAATTTTTAAAAAATTTTCATGGATTGATGTGGACACAAATACCAAGATAAAGGTTAGTTCATTATGTAATCTTGAGGTGGGAAGCAGGATGAATTATGAAGACACACTTACTCTAATGTGTCTCTGAACTTATGAATTTTAATTATACTTGTCATTACGGAACTATAATTAAAATAAGAAAATGTCAAACTATAGGTTTTAAAATGGTTTGTTTGATTGAAATTAAGTTTTGTATGTGATTCTTTATTTTTTTAATGTTGTGTCCTGAACTTCTTGTCTTGTTTGAGATTTTGGGATGTTAATGAATATTCTGTTACTCTTATAAATTTTTCAAGGTAGGATAAGTTATAGCATCCTAATTCTAATAAAATTCTTTTAATTTTACAGCTGATTTTGGTGTCTCAGCTCAAATAACAGCAACTATAAGTAAAAGAAAGTCATTTATTGGAACACCTTATTGGTCAGAATCTCTATTTCTCAAACTACTCATTTTGTTAAAATGTAAGTTTAAAATGTTCTGTTTGATACTTTTAAAGGATGGCACCCGAAGTTGCAGCTGTCGAAAGGAAGGGTGGTTATAACCAACAATGTGATATATGGGCCGTAGGTATAACAGCAATTGAACTAGCTGAACTACAACCACCCATGTTTGATCTACATCCAATGAGAGCACTTTTTTTAATGTCGAAATCAGGATTTAAGTCACCTACACTAAAAGATAAAAATAAATGGTATGAAAATTATTATATTTTAAGATGGTAATATATTATTTCAAGAACAATTTTCTCTTTTAAAAGGTCTCCAACTTTCCATCATTTTGTAAAAGTAGCACTTACAAAAAATCCAAAAAAAAGGCCACCGGCAGATAGATTATTACAGGTAAGAAAGGTTTCATAAACTAAATACAGTGGTACCTCAGTATACGTCTGCTTTAGAATACGTCCAATTCGGAATACGTCCTGTTTGGACGAAACAAATTTTGCTCGGTATACGACTTTTGTTCGGTATAAGCGCCATCTATGAACAAGTAGCACTATCGGTGTACTAGACTAGACTTGATGTTCGCAGTGCCACAGTTTATAACTTTGTTAAATATTTCTTCTGATTTTAATTTGTAAGTAAAATTTTATTATTTTTATTAATCATGAATTGCAAAAAGGCAAGTGAAAAGCAACAGAAAACTAAAAAAAATGACTAGAATCAAAATGGAACTGAAAAAAGAGGTTGTTGAGGAATATGAAGGTGGCATGCGTGTTCGAGATTTAACTGTTCCATATCATATTCTGAGAACGACGATATCGACATCGTGAAAAATAAAGACATTATTAAATCTGCTAACATTGCAAAAGGGGTTAAATCAATTTCTAAACAGAGATTGAAGACATTAGATTATGTTGAGAAATTGCTTTTGCTTTGGATAACTGAAAAACAGTATGCTAGAGACAGCGTATCAGAAGCAATTATTCGCGAGAAAGCTAAAAAGATACATGCTGATCTCATGAAAAATCAAGCAGGAACTATCCAGGAACGCGAGGTGTTTAAAGCCAGCCATTTTTTTTCATGAGAACAGATTAATCATTTTTACATTACTTCTTATGGGAAAGGTTGGTTTGGTGTACGTCCTATTTGGTATAAGTCCAAACATCAGGAACGGATTAAGGTTGTATACCGAGGTTCCACTGTATTGTCATTTCTTTAAAAAATATGTACTGTATAATTAAATTTTATCATTGTATTTGTCAACAGCATCCCTTATTCCAGACTAACCTTACAAAAAGGATAGCACGCGAACTCTTAGAGAAAGTCAATAATCCTCATCAGAACTATTCTGAGCTTGATCCAGACGATGAAGGGGTAAAATTTGATTAAATATTTTATTTAATTTGTGAAAATAGTTAACAGATTTAAAATATAAAATTATTATTAAGCATGGACAATTATTTGTATAAAATTTTAAATGATAGATTATATATGCATTCTTTCAAGATAAGAAGAGAAAATTTATCTTATACAACTCATATCTTGATACCATTTTATTATACTATACTAGAACACTAATTGAATTTTTGTGTAGTAATTATTATTTAGTAATATATTCATTATAATTGTAGAAACTGACACTCAGTTAGAGATTTGATGTAGAATTGCAAACCACATATTAAAGGTACATTTCTTTATTCTAAAGTTTTTTCAGATATAATAAGGGTTTTAAGGAATGGATATATTCAAAATTAAAAGGAACAATGATTATTATTAATATTTAATACAGTAACTGTATTACTAAGAAAAAAATCAAAAAAATACATACAAATTATATTAAAAACATTTAAGAGATAGCATGGGAATTACTCAAACAAAGTTAATATAAAAATATTACTTTAAATTAAATTTAGATTGACAAATATTATTATGTCAGTATATTATTCTATAACTCATCAAAAGTGATGCAAGAAGAAATAAAATCATTAGTCATTTGAAAAAAATCAATAACTTTTATACTCAATTAATGGGTGAAGAAACGAAAAAATTGATTTTTACTTTTATCAAACTATAACATTTTATCATAACATTCTCCATAAAGACTGTACCATCTCCAAATAATTTTTTTCATTGTTCTGACTCACTAGTGACCAGGTAGATAAATCACCAAACACTAGTAGTTTGTCTTAAGTTTACACCTTGCCAACAGGCTGACCATGTGAAGTTTTCAGAGTTTACTTCACGTATGTAACACCTACATAGGGGCCAGTTTTCCATGGAAAATAATCCTGTGAGACATCTCTTTTTGGCAGATCATCCAGTTGTTCATTGCTATATCCCCTCAAACCAACCTGTTGTTCTGAATCTGAAATATAAAGTTTTTGTCATTGCAACAACATATTACTAACAACAATTTTGTCAGTCTTCGAATTTGAGCATGCACCAATCTGATAAAGTTGATTTATTTAACTTATGGAAAATGTCATTCACCATAGATGACATAATTAAGTAAATTCAAGGTAAAATTAAATAATAATTTTGAGTTTTGATTCACTTATATTCAAGAAAATTAGTCACATCTAATGGTATGGTCACCTTAAAATTAATTAATTAAAGTATATTGAAATATGCAGAACATTATCAAATTATAAGAAAAGTAATTGTTTTCATTCACCACTAATTTTTTTTACCAAAAAATTACTGATTTTTGACTTGGAAAGACAAAACTAAATACAATTTTCAATGGTAGAATGTCTTTCTGCTATTTTTAAATCAAATTATTTTTAGAACAATTCAAATTCTTATTAAGACATTAAATTTTAACAGTTAATGTAGAGTGTACATATGTATAAATATAGGATAATAACTTTGGAAAATACAGCTAAATTAAGTTGAAAATCACAAGCAAAACAAAATGGAGTAGACGTTTACACGTTGAGATGGAAGAAGATATGAAACCTGACAATTTTAAGCTGGGCCATAGCATCTGAAATAATTATTCTCTTGAATGTGAATTGAAAAATTATTATAAATTTAACAGATTAATGTAATAAGAATTTAAATTTGAATGTGGTTCTTATAAAAACACTCATTCCACTATTAATAAACAGTGTAGAGCTAGCAATGTACAGGCATAGGATATTATGTTGTTATTAGATTATATTTTATTTTATATAATAATAGTATTTTAGATGTATGTAACTTTATTGAATACTTAAAAATATATGACTTGCATCAAAGAAAGTAAAACAGGTTTAATCTCTTTCCTTATACTTCCTCAATGTATGCCCCTTGTGCTACCTGACAGACATCTAACAAGGTCTTCCCACACTTCTCTGGTCCAATTTATACGTTGTTAGTTCTTCCAGAGTAGCTGTGATTGAATTCTTTAGTGTTCAGATGTCTTGAAACAGGTGGCACATAAGCAGTGTCTTCCTGTATCCCTGCAAAAAAGAAATCTCATGATATAAATTCTGGAGATTCAGGTGATCATGCTGGCCTACCAGGTCTCTGGATCTTGTAGATTGTGTAAGTGAGAGCAAAGCCATCAATGTAAACGATCATTACACCCACAAGAAATTACTTCAAAAGTTCAGTCTCTTTAAAGAAAGATAACAAACTTCTAAATGAAAGCTAGATATTATTAGATTTCTAAAAGAGGAGATCACAAATGAACAAGATTCTCAGCAGATTCACAAAAGGCTAGGGAGGAGACTTTTCAGGTGGCACAAATATGTTTCAAAAATGATCAGAACTGGTCAGAATGCCAACCACAAAGCAAAAATTATTCTTACCAAAGAGAAGAAAATTTGTATAATAGTTGACACAGAGGGCAAACTAGGCAAGATACCTTACTCTGCTTCATACTAGGAGTTATCCTTTATTGTTTTAAATGACTAGAAATAGTTCAGTCTTTAACTGCTCTAGAAAAAATTGTGGAAGAAATTGTGGTTCAGGCCCAATAAAGGGGTAAGGAATTCTTGCTTAGTCAGTAAATCAGCTCTTACAATGAATCCAGCAATTCACTCAAGTCCTGGTACTCACAAGAGAAAACTGTTGTGGGCAGCCAGTTCAGAGAGACTCAAACAGTATTCCCAGACAAGTGCTGAAATGAACTGACTTGTCAAGTGCCTTCAATGCAGTCTGACTCAGAATCAATGTAGATAGCCTTATTCAGAGGACATCTGTGCAAAATAGGGCAAACACACCAAATAATAGCTCAACTTGAAACAAGTAGGAACTTTCCCCAGACAGGCATAGAAACTTGAATGATTTTTACAAATGCCACTATTAGTTTTGGATCCATCGGTAAACCATACAATTCCATGGAAGAAAGGTTATCTTACCCATATGCCAATCAAGGTTACTAGGAAAGGAGACTGAAAAATGCTTATCAAACATAAACTGAGATAAAAAAAATCATTAGGCTATCAAAAAAGTCTTCCTTCAATTCTCAGCAGAGGCAAATGACCAAAAGAACAAAGTCTAAGGCTGTTTTACTGATCCTTTAAGGACTTTAATTTAATCTGAATAAATAAGTGAAAGGGAGGAAGATTGAATAGCATCTCAAGTACTACCAGTGATAAGAGACATTGCTCCATATGCTGCACACTTTGCAAATTTACCCAATAGTCTCTCTGGATTTTACACTATTTGATTTCTTTTCATTAGCTATGTAAAATACAGTCTATGTGCAGTTTATTGGTTTGATATATCATGTAACAAGAGGGGCACACATTGAGGAATTGTAAGGTGAGAGATTAAATTTAGACAGTTTTACTTTTGGTGAAATTCAGATATTTTTAACTATTCAATAAGCAATGTAACACGCATCTAAAATACTGTTAATCTTTTCAAATAACTTTATATGTGAATAAAATCAATGAAACAAATAAAAACAAATTTTAAACCACTTGTCATAAGAACTTTAATTTATATCACTTTTTATGTCATTTTTTTTTACATAAAAGATTAAATTTTAGGAGCCTCCAGCATCTGGGCCCGAACCAAATGGCTCCGCCGATCCTTCTCTACCTGGGCCTGATTACAAGGTTATTCTCATTTGAATAGAACAATAAAAAAAAATCTTACATTATGAAAATTTAGTATTATGAATTAATCATAACTTATAAAGTGAATTATTTATGGAACCGTCTGATATTGGATGTATTTTTATCAAAATCATTTTGAATTTATATTCTTTTAGGCTGTGCCAAATGTTCCACAACGAATTGCTTCCAAAAGATCAGCACGATGCAAACAAAGAACAAGATCAGAATTACATAGTAAGTCTTCTGGTACATTTTTATGTTTAATATTTTATTCATTGTATTACTTCCAATTAAGAAATCTTTTTACATTTTCTAAACTTAAATTCAACATACTTTTTGTCATTCTTCAAAAGTCTTCATGTAATAAATATTTTATAGTCTTTTCTGTTTATTGTATATACAGAAAAGACTATGAAAGAAAAGTCTTCCAAAAAACAAGGCAAAACATTTTAAATAATTGTAGTTGTGTTAATTATTACCCAAGAAGTTGTAATGTATATTAAAACATTCAAAAACTGTCCAATTTTCACATTTGTCATTATAATTTCTTAATGCATGCACCTTGTGTTACATGTCACACATCTTGACCAACACTGAAATTCTTCTTATTCTTGCTTTGGCACATCTGTCATCATTCCTCCCACGGCAACCAAAATTCTACAGTTTCTGCAGATTACTCATTTTGCATTATGACAAATAATTTCAACTTTGCAAACTGCAGAACACAAAATGCCTTTTCTGTTGTGGAGTTGAATTTTTATTTATGGCACTTTCTAGAGACAGTAGGCAACAAGATATTCAAATGCAGATGGGAGACAAAACTCATATGGTTACTCTATCGAGTGGTGTACATTGCATGCTTCTAGGATAATAATTAACATAATTAAAGATATTTAAAATGATAGTACAGTAGAGTCCCGAAAACTCAGCCTAATGTGGACCGAAGGGTGGCCGAGTTTGTGAAAATGCCGGGTTATCGGGAATGGGGTTTAAAAAGAATAAGTACGAGTGTTTCCTCAGAAAATACTGTACTGTACTTGCATGCATTGTTTGCTTGAGAATACAACAGAGAATAAACTGCCCAAATACCCTTAAACAAAGGAAAAGTACGTACTTCATGATGGCATAGAGCCTTTACTACATGAAAATGAAAATTAATGAATACACAGTGTACAGTAATTTACCTGATAAGACAGACCTCAGAAAAATACTTTATGAGA